AGCGCCTTATCAGATTGTGAAAACATCTCAGAGCACTTCATTGGATTTCACTGTAAAGTGTAGTGACTGTGCATTTTGTAGGTGAACACACAACAAATTTGCACACAGGGACATCACACAAACAACCATTAAAATGAACGAACAATTTTACCAAAGGGAATTGTTGACCAGGAGGAACTCCCTTCTACAATGCAAGGATTATTATTATTATTGTTACAACTTGAAAGTTTGTTGATATGTTTACTGGCAATATTCTATCAGGTTAAAAAAAACTTCTAAAGAGGTATGTGTACAGCAGTTCTTCCTGAAAACTTTACAGAAAGAGTTTAGAAATAATAATAATCCTTGCATTTGATATAGCACTTTTCACGTCTTCTAAACACGCCAGACCTGTGGTTAGCTGTTGCATGTTCATGCACCGATGTGGCTAATTGTTCAACTTGCACACAAACCGCCAGGAAGTGAATGGCCAATTCAATTGGGCGATGTACAGCACGTAGCTCATTCTACTGCACAAAACACTTTCCAGTTTGTCAGCACGAGAAGACAATCCTTCTGCACATTCTATGGAATCTGTTGCAACTAAGTTCTGGCAAGCCAGACGAGAAGATATCACACAAATGGAGCTCCCTTAATAATAAATAAAATAATCCTTGCATTTGATACAGTGCCTTATCACATCTTCGAGATGTCTCAAAGCGCTTCACAGAATATACTGTAAAATGAGTTGAGAGTACATTTTGTGCCATTGGATAAGTATTGAAATGAAAATCTAAAACCCTTGCAAAGACACCAACTTTACATTGAACTGCAAATTTTCACACACATTACATACATTTTTCCATACAGAGCACAGACAGTAGATAAGTGTTTTATGCTGTAATTGTATCTCAGAGTTCAGATAACCTTTGTGATCTGTTTCAGCTACTCTCCCTTCTCTCCCTTTATAGATGTCACCTGAAACCCTCCATTTGGTTACACTCCCAGGTATCCATATTTAGCTTATTGCTCCCCGCTGGAAATGTCACTGACAAACATAATTCCCACTGTACACGCACATTCAGTGGATCGAAGCAATGTACTGCATGGTGAAGTCACTCTAGGATTCGATTGTAATAAGAGAATAAATTGTATAAAGCTGCTCGGTAACTCCTTATCCATCAATTTAGTTCACTGAAGTCATTCAGTCATTGTTAAGCACTCCGAAATGCTACCCCGCCTTAAGGGCACTATATAATTGTAAGTTGTTGTTCTTCCAAGTTTTTTCTTTTTTCTTCTCCCTTCCCCCCTCCCCCTTGTAAAATATATTAAATAATTGATTTTACTTTTAAGAGAAAAATGAAAATGTATTTGGAAATACAATTGGCAAAATGTTTGAAGGTTATCAATGGTAAAAATCAGAACAATCTAAAGTTCAAATTCAATTCTCACTCTCCCACCCACCCCCTCTTGATTCCTACCCACAGCTCGGGTGTAAAACCCTTAACTGCCCCGCAGCTTAGGACATCCTGACAAAATGAAAGACTATATAAATGTAATTTGTTGTTGTTGTGGACATCATTCTAGTCCTCCAACAGTCAAACCTACTGAACAGAGGTGAGAAAGTGGCCTTCTGAGCAATCCTCAGATTGCAGAATATCAGTCTCAACTTAGCACTAGACATAGTATTAATCGGGTGATGAGGCATTGATTGTTTGGGGTGGGGCGGGTAAAGAAAGAGGAGGAAGAAGTGAGCCACAAAGGGCTAGTGACAATGTCATAACAAGTGCTGATTCAGCCTTAGTATTCCGAACCACGAACAAGAAACATAAAGGAGGGCAGCAACTCCAAATACCAGAGTCAAGATGAGGCTTGTCCGCATTAGGGAATGGAACGCAACTTCACGGAGAGGAAAAAAAGAGAAAAGAAAAACGCACACGCAGAGAGAGAGAGACAGAGAGAGACAGACAGCGAGAGAACCAGAGTGCTTCAGCATCCTGGACAAATAGGTCGCTGCTATATTCACTGCAAAACATTGGATTTCTTAAAAAATTGGACCTTATGTGAACACGGACACTCAAATGTTAGGCATTTCTCACACAAACTGAAAACTGCTCTATCAACAGTAACAGTGTATGTGTGCATGTGTGTATGGGGGGGGGGAATGAAAGAGAGAGATGTGGCCAATTCTGGAAGTACCAAGAGTTATGCTACTCAATCCCAGCAGAAGGATGTCTCAAAATGCTTCACAGTTTTTACTGTAAAGGTGAGTGACTGCATATTTTGTAGATGAATGTGCCAGTCGATTTGCGCACAGCAATGTCCCGCAATCAGCCGGGTCTACCAATCTTATTCCAACAAGAGGAGAAAGTTTAAATTCTTTCCCACTGTAACTGAAATCTTCACAAAGAAAAAGACTCCACCTTTCTGGAATGATTGTGAAAGAGGTTTGCGCACTCTGATCTCTGAACTATGTGAACCTTTCTTCACCAACACACAGAACAAAACCAATCTGTCTACCACATCTCCTTGCTTGTACAGTGTTTCATTTTATCTCTGATGCGTAATCTTAACCAACACAAAAAAAGTTACGTCATTTCATGGAAAACTGCCTGTTTGTGGAGACAGTCAGTAAGTTGACACCTTTTTGCCACATCCACACAATAAGGCCTGTGTGCACAAGAAAACTAACTTGAATCAATGGAGGAAAGGTTCTCTCCCCTGAAGTATGGTGCACAACAACACTGCATGTGAATGCTTTAATGTTAAAATAGGATATTTTCTGTACCATGAAGCGAGCTCAAAATCAGATCAGCTTCCCATCTCACATCGGCTCCCTCTCCTGAGTGCAGCCTATCATACACAGCTGTGAACACCTCCCAACATGACATGAATGGTCACTCTCCATGTGGAAGCTTTGATGGTGAGTAATGGCAGGCAAAGTGACTGTGAAGTCACAGCCAAATGGTCCAACAGTTCTAATTTTTCTCACACACACACACAGCTTTCCAGCTGGGCTAACATCACGAGAAAAAACGTCTCGGCCAACATTTCCCCTCCCTATCCCAGTCACATTCGGCTCAATTTCAGATGCAGCTTTAATAATAATAAAAAAACTTTTGCATTTATTTGATCCAGCTCCTCTCACGCTGGGGATGGGAGGGGGGGGCGGAACACCCTAAAGTGCTTCACAGGATTTACTGTAAAGTGTAGCAACAGGGTGTTCTGTAGGAGAGCGCAGCAGCCAATTTCGTACAACAATGTCCCGCGAGCTTTGAGATGTCCTCTGATCTTTCTTTCCACACTGACCCCATAAATGAAATTGTGTTCGTGTTTAATTTCCTAAAAGAATAACCAGATCAGAGGCATTGCCAAAGAAACCTAGAAGTTCAGAGAAAAGTCAGACCTCCAGATTTCACAATCCTTCTCTACCCTGGATCACCATTCCCCAGCTGAGAGGAGGTACAGTACTGAACTCAAACCGAGCTTTGATTGCCTGGTCTGCAGGCACCACACCACCCTTATTTACACTGAACAGTGTAATAACACCCCCCCAAACCCACCCACACCACCGCCACACCAATGGTTTTGCTGCCAAGTGGATCGACTGACTTTTAGCCAAAAGAAATAATGACATGATATGACAAGTACAAACATTCTGAAAGTGATCACCAGGTATTACATGAATCAGCAAAGGATTACTCACTCCAAACCAGTCTCTGCTTCTTTCAACACTTCTTAATAGCAAGATTGAATTCCTTCTCATTTTATTTTATTGATATATATAGATGTACATATGTGTGTGTGTGGTTGTATATATATATACAGTCGTATGCATTCTCTTGCTCATTGCAGAAGACCTGAACTGATCAATCAATCAATCAATCGTTTCAACAACAACATTTCAACAACTATCGTTACCAAAACGATCAGCAGAATTCACTGGGTACAGAATAATCCGCTTCGGGTTCGGAAACAATTGGAATAATAATAATAATTATTATTATTATTAAACAATTGGAACAGGTTTTGGAAACAGCAACAACAAAAGAACTTGACCACCGACAAAACAAAACTCTTCATAAGATCCACTCGCATTTTATCGCGGTGTGTGTGTGTGGGGGGAGAGAGAGAGAAAAAGAAAAAGGAGAGAAAAATCAATAAAGGTCATTTGAATCTTAATTAGAAAGTGGCCTCATGATAAAAGATAAACATCTGTTTTTTTTCCCGAATGAAACATTCACTGAATCTCACATGGAAAGGGATTTGATTAATTGATTAACTCATTAACTATTAAGATTGATAGCCTTAACTTCTCCCCCACCCCATCCCCCCAAAAAATAGAGAGAATGAAAAAAAAACTCTACATTCCACTAAAACACATGGAAAAACACAATGGAATTGGACATATCGATCTATGGACCATCGAAGCGATAAACCCACACACGTTATTTACGTTTCAATTTTTTTTTCGGTTCATAAAAGAAAAAAGGAAAAAAACAGAACAAAAATCGTGCGATAGAAATCCTAACTTTAATTCCTCTTTGGAGAGTCGATCGGAGAAACAATGTTAACTTTTTTGTTGTTGTTTTAACAACAAAAAAGTAACGGAGGAAGGAAGGAAAAAAAAGTTGCTTTTGCACAAAAAAAAATAAAACGTTCAGGACATACAGTGTTTATCAACACGTTTCGTTGGCAATAGTACACACATCGGTCGGTTGTAAGGACCAAAGGGTTACATTAATGTGAAAAGCACGAGTTTTCTCCCCAAGTTTCCACGCGAGGAAACTCTCTCTTCGATTCTTTTTACTCACAGAGAGAAAAAAAACACACACAATCTCCTTTATTGTTGAACACAAGTTAAAAGTTGTTGCTCGTGATCACACTCCAGCCAAACTTTTCAGACTTGATTACAAACGTTTTCTCTCTCTCTCTCTCTCTCTCTGTGTGTCTCTGTCTCTCTCTGTGTGTGTGTTAGGAGGTAATTCAAAAGTTTGTATAATAGTAGCAGCTTTTCTTACCTCTCAGCCATTTTTGTTACACATCAGGAAGGAGCTGAAGCCTGGGAGAGATGTGCGGCGTTGGCAGGAGCTAAACCAACCCACCCCCAAACTGCTCCATCATGTCACGGATGTGTGTAATTTGATCCAGTGCTCAGCTCTCACTCAGACTGCAGGAGGGGGAGGCAATGGGGAGGGAGGGAGGGAGGGGGTGAGTGAGTGAGTGAGGGGAAAGCACAAGAGGAACACAGAGGACAAACACTTCACTGCCAACTCCCTCCACACGTCTCCATCCCAGTCACTGCTCCCCTCTGCTGGTTTGCAAACCTCCCCACACGTTGTTTTGTTTTTTCGAAACCACTGCCGCTCAGTGGAATAAAGAGTTCTCAAGAGAAATCTTTTGTAATTCATATCAACCAGCAGAAGAATATGATAATAATAATAATAATCAGTGCGTTTGATATACAGCGCCTTGTCACGTTGTCAAGACGTCCCAAAGCGCTTTTCTTCGCGGGATATGCAGGACTGTAAAGTGGATTGACTGTGTACTTTGTGGGTAATACACAACAGCCAAGTGGATTGAGTGACCAATATTTTTTGGGGGGAGGAATATTATCCCCAGAAAGCGATCTGCCAATCGACTAACAACCAGGTTCCTGCTTACTGCTAGGTAAACAGGTGTGTGGAGTAAGGAAACTTGTCTTAAGGTTTCGCCTGCCCAGGAAACAAAACCGGACCCTCACTTGCGAGGCGAGAGTGCTAACCACGCTATGGGACTCCACGTGGCGCTCTCCCTCGTGACCCTCCCCACTTTTCTCCTTGTCCACTCCCCTTGTCCAGTCTCCTACCGAGTTTTTTAACACTGATTTTTAATTTGATGTAAATGGTTCCCCTTTTATTTGGTTTTCCTTTTACAAATGGGGGTTTCTGCAGATCTGGTGAAATGAAAAAGAGGAGTTATTTTCTTTACACAACACGGTTTGGGAGATAGTTTCTTTGATATAGCCAGAGGGTCCTAGTGCTGTGGAATCTGAATCATTTCATGAACCAGAAACTAGGAACAGCAATTTAAAAAAAAAACTGCATGAACAAACTTGCAGGTACTGTGCTGGATTACATTCTTAATTCACCATTTGAGATTTTGCTGCTGAGTTCTGGCTGTCACACCCAACCCTCAAATTAAGTTGAGTAGTGACTGCTCTGCAAGGGAGCACTGAACCTCACAGTGTCCAGTAAACCCATTCCCCTAGCGCATCTGGTGACTGTGATTTAATATCTTGTTATGCCCATTTGACAGTAAGTGCACACAGTCACTATAGCCTCTGTTTACCTAGCAGTAAGTAGGAACTCGGTTGTTAGTCGATTGGCGGGATAATATTCCTTTCAAAAAGTATATATTTTAAAAAAATTTGGTCACTCAATCCAAATTTTGGGAGACTACTGTGCACAATTAGCTGCCACGTTTTGCCCACAAAATGTAGGATCAATTCACTTTACAGTATATTCTGCGAAGCACTTTGAGACGTCCCGAAGGCGTGATAAAGTGCTACATCAAATGCAAGGATTATTATTATTATTACACTATACATTGAATCCTGTGCAAGTACTTTGAGACGTCTTCCTGAAGTGAAAGGCGCTGTATCAAATGCAAGGATTATAATAATTCTTACATTTGATATAACTCCTTATCACGTCGTTGAGACGGCTCAAAGCGCTTCACAGAATATACTGTAAATTGAATTGACTCTACATTTTGTGGGCAAAATGCAGCAGCTAATCGTGCAGAACAGTCTCCTCAAACAGAGTGACCAAATTATTATTGATTTTTACATCTACTGAATTATGCACTGACACTTTAAATAGCATTTCAAAACAACCGCCATACCAACCACTTCCTCTTTTTAAAAAATTTGGAATCCTGTAGCTCAGTGGTTAGAGCACTCGCCTTGCAAGTGAGACACCTGGGTTCAATTCTAGGCAGGGTGAAACCTTGGGCAAGTTTCCTTACTCCATACGCATAATAATAATCTCTCCCAAACAAAACAATAATAAATTGTGCTGTGCGCAATTGGCTTCTGCGTCTCGCCCACAAATATACAGTCAATTCACTTTACAGCATATTCAGGGAAGTGCTTTGAGACGTCTAGAAGACATGAAAAACACTATATCAAATGCAAGGACATACCCCCACCCCACATTCTAGCCCCACATTCCTGTTACACACAGAACACTGCCTCTTTAAAAAGCATGTGTCTGACCCACTGAGCAAAGCCTTGCTTCTCCTGTTAAGTGTCTGGCTGCCCACCAGCTGGCAGAGATCCTTTTTTTCATACTTTTTCAAAAAAAATTGTTGGCCAATCGATCCTGCCAAATGACGCACACGAACAAAAATTGCAAACTTTCAAAAATTGCTATTTGAAGTCAGGCAAGCGGGAGAAGAGGCCCTGGTCTAATCTGTTTAATTTGCATGCTGGATGGGGGCATAAATATTGAAAGCCTATTGTATATTGTGTACATAGTTTAGTTCGGGCGTAAAGCCTCATTGTAAATGCTCCTGTGGTTATTCAGCTCTACATTCACATCTAAGACACTCAATATCATCCCACATATAAAAGAGGCCACTCACTCCATGACTATTGTTATTATCATCATACCCCAAATTATTTCAGCAGGCTTACACTATATTACTGCTGTGAATTGAAAGTGTTTTTTTATACTGCGTACTCTATGGCTTATATTCGCATTATAAGGATACAGTCTTCATAAGTATATAAGAATGTGTACAAAATCAGTTCTGTACCCTGAACAAAATGGATTGTACAGCCTAGTTGACATTCATTCACATTGAGACTGATCTGTGTACAAAATGTGTGGAAAATCACTTATACACTTAGAACAAGAAGCTCAGTATTAGAATCCGAAAGATCAGCAATAAATGAGCAATAAATCAGCAATGAACTCCATCCCAAGAGTCAACTCAGCAAAAAGATTTATTTTTCTTCCCAATTTAGTTTCCCATCTTTCAGAACAGACGTTCAACCGAAATCCAGTCTGCCTGTTTAGAATATTAAATATCCCATGGCACCATTTGTAAATAGAAGGGAGTTCCTCCCGATCAACAAACCGCCCCCCCAAATAAAATTGGTCATTCACCTCATACAGTTGTGGGACGTCCTCCCGACGAGAAAGGTGCTATACAAATGTATATTTAATTTTTATTTTGTTTGTGGGACATTGCTGTGTTCAAATTGGCTGCCATGTTCACCTGCAAAATACATAGTTCCTACACTTTACAGTAAATCCTGCGAAGTTCTTGAAGACGTCCTCCTGACTTGAAAGGCACAGTATCAAATACAAGAATTATTATTATTACAGTATTATTAATTATCATTATTACATTATAATTATTTCCTCTTCTCCTGACTCCTTTTTCTTTCTATTTGGGTACCCTACTCTGGGTACTTCTCACTGTCTGGTGCCTCACCGAGAAACGTAACCTCAAGACCAATTGTCTTTGTTTTTCATTTCAATTCCTCCTCTCCTCCTCTGCCGGTTTCCCTGAAGCTGGTGACTCATGCTGAGGGTATAGCTTCACAGAGAGCACCTGAAACAAATGTCCATTCTTCATGTGTGAGCCAACTCAGCAAGCATTGGCAGGCTATTCAACTTTTGTTGCCATCTCAGTCAAGCTTGACACTACTCTCTGCCACACATACTCTTCTTATAGCCATTGGAAAGAAATTAGCCTGCAGGAACCCTAGCAAGATTTGTTTCTCTCTGAAGCCTAGCAATGCTGAGGCCAATTACATCAGTGCCATTATTCTGACTGAGACTGACTGACTTAACACAGACCAGAAATCAGAACAGGACCGGCTGTTTCAATTAATCCAGAAAAGTAAAACCAGGGGACACAGCCTGCGATTAAAGTGGGGTAAGTAAACCAGTGGAACAGACTCCTGAAGGATACGGTTAAAGCAGGAAGTGTTGATTTCTTCAAACACAGATTAGATCATTTTCTTTTAGGAAATAACATGGGAAATAGAGAATAGATAGTTCAGAACATATGTGTATATGACCATCAGGAAAGTGGAAGGCGAACTAGATTGACTTTGGTCTTTTTTTCATCTAGCATTTCTTATATTCTTATATTCTTAGGACCTTCTTTGGCTGGCATAGCTCAATAGTATTCCACATGGAAAACTCACCCACTGAGCCAACCAGTGAAAGCTCCATTATAGAAAAGGTGGGAATAAATTGTTTGGAGACGTCTATTAGTTTTCTTTTCAATTCATTTTTATATGTTTCTAAAAAAAACGAACTCAGTGCCCTAAGGAATACAATTTCCAACGCAGCGAGTTCCAGATCTCGTCCTTTAATAATGTAAACAGTGTTATTGGACATAGATCATTGCTGTGTCAGTAATATTGTGGAATGCAACTCCTGAACTTAGACATGTTGTGAGCTTCCAAGGCAAATATAGTCTCCAAGCCTGGATGCTCTATAAAGTAGAATTTGTGAGACTGTGTTTTAACCCTGTGAATAAACAGAGAAACCGGGGGGAAAATTGAAGACGGAAAATGAGAATAGTTCTGAGAATGAGTTACAAAGAGAGGCTAAAGGAAGATAAATCCTTTCTATTGGTTGGGTGGGGGGAGGGGGGAGATTAACACAATGCTCTCTGCTGAAACTGGAGAAGAGAACGAAGGACATGGATATAAATTAGAAAAACCATGAGCCAAACGAAAAGATGAGCTGCTGTATTTCATTCTTAGAGCTGTTAACTTACTTAAGGGATAGGTTGGATGACATGGACTTGGATGAACCATTTCAAAAGGAAATGGGAGCGATTCCAGAATTAAGGGGGAATACAGGCCTGGTGCCAGGAAGAATTAGGTGTGTGATGCCAAAGGCAGCCTGGGGAATCCATAGAAGTCTTGAATATGGCCCTAAAAGACAAAACAGTAAGGTGAACTGAATGGCCTTGTTTGTTCCTCTTCTCTTATACTGTAATATGAACTGTTCAAATGTTGCTCTTGCATTTTATGATACGTTTTTACTTTTCCTCAATCTAAGATGGTTAACTAACGAGCAAATGAGCTCTCAATGCATCATATTTCAATACAGACCTTCAGTGTTTCAGGCAGTCAGTTGTAAATGACCAGGTAATAAAGTTGTAGAGTTTGCAAATGTGATTTCAATCGTTCAGTCTGGGCACAGGGATCAATGTGCAATATCTGCCAATAGATCCACTGACACAAAAACATTACCAAACAAAACAGGCAAACGTACTGCACCTTCCAGAAACTCTGCAGAGGATAATTATTCCAAAACAGGTCCATAAGAATGATTTCAAGGGAATTTCAATTCACTTTGCAGTATATTCCGTGAAGCACTTTGAGACGTCTCAATGATGTGATAAGGCGCTATATCAAATGCAAGGATCATTATTATTGGGTGGGGGGGGGTGATCAACCAACCAGAACTAGAAATGAGGAGCGGGAAATTAAAAATATACAAACTCCATAAACTAGCAGCACCAAGATCAGACAGACCAGATTGGGGAGAGGTGCGGCAGAAACGACTCAAGGATACTGGCAGCAGAAACTCAGGCACGCCAGACCTCAAAAAGATATTAGAACAAGAGCGGCCTCCTCAGGGCAAGACATAAAACGACAGCATTTTTAGGAAAAACATTTCAATCGTGCAAGTTTTTATATTACAAAGGAATTGGGCAAGAGAAAAGAGAAATTGTATTTAAAACGCTTAAGTATTTTGTTCTTGGTTATCCTACCTCAATTGGTAGAAATCTCGCTTCCGAGTCAGGTTGTGAGTTCAAGCTCCCATCGGGGACTTTGAACTCGTAGTCTAAGATGACACTCCAATACAGTGCTGGGGGTGGGGGGGACGGGGGGGTCCTTTATTGTCAGATGTGCCGTCCTTCAAAATGAGATGTTCCACCGAGTTTCCAACTGCCTGTACAGGGGGAACGTTAAAGATCCCATGACACTGCTTGAAAATAGGAGAGAGTTTCTCCTTTTCTTCAATTTAAGACAGTTGTGCAAACGAGCAAATGGGGAGGGAATGGTGGAGTCTAAGCCCTGACTGGGGTCAGACTCCACCACTGCTAAGCACTCCAGGACGCTACTCCGCTTGAAGGGCGCTATATTGTAAGTTATTGTTGTTGATAGGAGAATTTTTTTCTCGCAGAGTGAGTGGTTAGGATACAGAATGCCATGCCGGGAGAGGTGGTTAATCCAGATTAGCTTTCAAAAGGGAACCAGATAAATATTTTTAAAGGAGTAAACCCTGGGGCTATGGGAGGGAAGGCCAGGGATTTGGAATTTGAAGGATTGCTCTTAAAAGAGTGAGCACAGACACAATTTCTATGGTTCTACGGGCAGTCTGGTTGCTAGACACATCTGGGGGTTTGGTGGCTAGGAACATATGGAGGTCTGATTGCTAGGCACATCTCGGGATCTGGTTGCTAGGCACATCTGGGGGTCTGGTTGCCAGGCACATCTAGGTGGTCTGGTTGTTAAGGCACATCTGGGTGGCCTGGTTGCTAAGGCACATCTGGGCAGTTGCCAAGCCACATCTGAGGGTCTGGTTGCTAAGGCACATCTGGGGGCCGGGTTTCTAGGCACATCAGTGTAGTCGGGTTGCTAAGGCACATCTAGGGGTCTGGTTGCTGAGGCACATCTTGGGGTCTGATTGCTAGGCACATCTGGGTGGTCCTGTTGCTAGGTACATCTGCGTGGTCTGGTCGCTAGGTCTATCTGGAGGTCTCGTTGCTAGGCACATCTGGGGGTCTGGTTGCTAGGTATATCTGGGTGGTCTGGTTGCTAAGGCACATCTGAATGGTCTGGTTGATAAGGCACATCTGGGTGATCTGGTTGCTAAGCTACATTGGGGGTCTGGTGGCTAGGCACATCTAGGTGGTCTGATTGCTAGGCACATCTGGGCAGTCTGGTTGCTAAGGCACATCTGGGTGGTCGGGTTGCTAAGACACATGGTGGTCAGGTTGCTAAGCACATCTGGGCGTCTGGTTGCTAAGCCACATCTGGGGGTCTGGTTGCTAAGGCACATCTGGGTGGCCGGGTTGCTAAGACACGTGGCGGTCGGGTTGCTAGGCACATCTGGGGGTCTGGTTGCTAAGGCACATCTGGGGGTCTGGTTGCTAAGGCACATCTGGGTGCTCGGGTTGCTACGGCACATCTGGGTGGCCAGGTTGCTAGGCACATCTGGGCAGTCTGGTTGCTAAGGCACATCTGGGTGATCTGGTTGCTAAGGCACATCTGGATGGCGAGGGTCTGGTTGCTAGGGGAGACCGCCGGCCGTGACGTCGCTTCCGCCGCCTGACGTCACTTCCGCCGCCAGGTCTTAGGGAAACGTGGCCTTCGGCGCGCAGTTGCAGTGAGAGGTAGAGAGAGACATGGCGGACGTGCCGAGCTCACTCCAGGCCGAGGCCGCCCTGAACGACACCGAGCCCGGCGCTGCCAGCGTCAATGGCACCGTCAAGTTCGTGGCCACCCTGGAGGGCGCAGCCGTGGCCTACGGGAGTCTGGTTCTCATGGCGCTGCTGCCCATCTTCTTCGGGGCCCTGCGCTCTGTCAACTGCGCCAAGAGCAAGGTAAAGGCCGGCCCTCGGGTCAGAGCGAGGGGAAGGGGGGAAGAGTGAGGGGAAGGGGGCAACAGAGAGCGAGGGGAAGGGGGCAACAGAACGAGGGGAAAGGGGGCAACAGAGCGAGGGGAAGGGAGGAAGAGTGGGGGGAAGGGGGCAACAGAGAGCGAGGGGAAGGGGGCAACAGAGCGAGGGGAAAGGGGGAAGAATGAGGGGAAGGGGGCAACAGAGAGCGAGGGCAAGGGGGGAAGAGTGGGGGGAAGAAAGAGGGGGAAACGGGAAGAAGATGGGATGAGGGAAGGAAGAGAGAGCGAGGGTTTGGGGCAATGGGAGGGCGATGAGATGGGATGGACCCAAGACAATATAAATAAATTAATTTAATTCTCCCCCTTTGTAATTAAAATGTATTGGCGATGGCGTGTTTTTTCTTTTTGCTTTTGCTCCTCCTTTGGCAAATGAACTCCAGCAGCAGGTGCCCCCCCCGCCCCCCCATTTAAAGTGTGGTCTTTTTTTAAAAAAAATATTTAAAAAAAAACATTGTTTTAATTGTAAGGCAGTTCTGTGGATTGTAATTGTTGCATTTAAGAGTGGTTGCCCTTCTGATTTTTAAAATTGCGTGTGTGCACGCAGATGTTTTATGTTAAAGAAAACATTCTGTCATTTAAGGCAAACATAAGGGTTGATAAAGTTGAGGCTTGTGTAAATTTGGCTCTGAGCAGTAGTAGTATGTATATACGAAATATAATGGTAAGCACTTGGCAGCTTAATAAACCAAATCTCACAGTTGAGCTGATATTTTTAACTTTGAGACGTTATTTAGTTGTTATCTCGAATGCAAGCATGATTATTATTGTTGTTATTAAAGGACTGATTGCAGAGAGGAATTTCTATTGTATTGTTTACAAATTCCCATTTCATTCAGTGTTGAGTGAGTCAGTGCATCTTGCATTATCAAGGTATGTGTAATTTGGTCATAAATTTAAAACAAAATGTTATACAGTCATTTTTCATCCCAAAGGTGTTGACTTTTGCTGGAGTGTGGTTCTGTTGATGTTAACATCTGTCAGTATCATGTCCAGGCGGACTCTTGCTGTGTACCAGTGAACGTCTGGGGTTTATTTGACCCTGGGAATGATTATCGTGGTTGATCCCTATCTTATTCTTGCTTTATATCCGTGCAAATACAAATTCTGGTAAGGAGTTGCTTGATAGCTAGTAGGAACCATGGCTGATTTTCTTCTTCTTCATTCCCCTCCTCTGCCCACTCCTCTCCCCCAACACACAGCCAGCGCATTGTTATTGAGGTCCAATTGAAACACATTAACTGTTTGCTCCTGACGAAATTAATACGTGACACACTAGGAATTGAACTGGGAACGTATTTAGTCTTTGTGACATTTTGCTCCCACTAGTCGTGTGTCAGGTAGGGAGCTGAGTGCTGTGTGGGCCAATGAATGAGTGAGTGTTTACATTATATAAAAGAATTCCATTGTGAGCTTTTAGAGACTCTTAGGATTGTGATGCATATTTTTGAGTTACTTCTGATATTTAAGTAGTAAAATGAAGCATTTTCCTGATGTTCAGGGCTTTACTCTTTAAGATACTATGTGTGAAATCTTATCCCATCTGACGCACTGTACCAGCATGAATGTTTTGCCTCTGAACGGCCTCACAAGATACTTTTGATACTATAATTTTACGATTTCCATTTCAATGCACCGTGATTATGAATTGCTTTGATTTTGTGTTACAGAATTCCTCAGATATGCCAGAGACTATTACAAGTCGAGATGCAGCCAGATTCCCCATTATAGCCAGCTGCACGTTGTTTGGTCTTTACCTGTTTTTCAAAGTAAGTTGTTTGTTTTTAAAGTCAAACTTGTTTGAAAATGCTAAGTTTCAATCTCAAAGACAATGTGTAAAGGTAGTTACGGGGAAAAAAGCATTATGTATTATTTGAATAAAGCATCTTCCCAGGTGTAGCAGACTGCATCTATAAATGCACCTAATTCCCGAAGCTAATTGTGCATCAGTATAGTGAGTGGCTGTAAAACCAGGGTGGAATGATGGAATAAAGATATGAGGCCCTTGAGTGTCGTTCAGTAAGATTGAGAAGAGGATCGACATCAGTGTATCTCTAACTGTTAAGTTTTTCTTTTGACTTTGTAGTGAATATTTTCCCTTTTTTTCAAGGTTTAAATACCACTGTGAAATTGCCGATTTTAGCTTTGTTTTCAAAGATGATTTGCAAATGTATTAATTATGTTCTCTTAATGCCTCTGCACTGACTGGGAAACCAGTCCTTCAGAGTGAAAATGAAAATAGGTTAATGAGACAGGTTGAGTTGATTAGGATGAATGTAGGTAGGGTTTAAGTGCCCTATATTTGAGCACAGGAATACCACGGGTTTTCTTTCTGGGAAGGGAGGTTTGATAACTGTGACAGTTAATCTAAGCAATGATTCTGTATCTTTCGCAAACCTTAATTGTATCCTTTTCACTGGGGTGGAAGCTCGGATAGATGCTGAATACAGGGCGATAGAGAGAGCTTTGTTACAAAGGTATCATGCATTCTTTTAAGGTTTGTTGTAATCATTCTGAAAACTATGGAAGAGTGTCCAGAGAAACCTGCTGTACGTCTATAGCTTTTGACAAATAATTGAAATTGTGACTGCTTTAAAATGGTTAGTGCTCTCTTAGCCTTCATGAAAATGAGATTCTTTCTAAGATCTTTTGTGAATGCTTCAGGTAATATACAAAGTTTTTCTCCCAAAAAATACACACTCAATCCATTTTACGGTATATTCTGTGAAGGACTTTGAGACGTCTCAATGACGTGATAAGGTGCTATATCAAATGCAAGGATTATTATTATTAAAGTACATGGTGGAATATGTCCCAGTTTCCCCCAAATGAGTTTTAATTTTTAGTTTTAAATTATTTTTGAATGTAGTATCTTATGTGATCATTCAGGTGATGTGAATGACGGTATCTCAGTGATATCTTGAGTAGCTGTGTGAATTCAGAAAACAATCTTGGTTGAAAAAAATTATTCAGTTGCATTTATTGCCCTGTGACATAAAATGGATTCAGTGAAGTGCCTCTTCACTCAAAGCATACGTGCCCTTATGCGACTTTGATGATGTGCCTTTGAATTTGACAACACTTTGTCTGAAAGAGATGTATGTGGTAGTGCAGTGATTTGTCTTGTGAAGGCACATCATCATCTTTTAAATGTGCACCTGCAGAATATGTATTGAAATTCTATGGAAATTTTTCTTCAATTTAATAGCCTTGGTTCCACACCAAGAACAATGAACTTTTAGTTTTAAGTGGCCCTCTCTCCTGTTTTTGTAGTCGCATTACTTGATTTTCCTAATTCCTGCATTTTTTCTCTCCCTGTTTTTAGATATTTTCCCAAGAGTACATTAACCTGCTCTTATCTATTTACTTTTTTATACTGGGTATCCTGGCTCTGTCGCACACACTCAGGTAAAATGCTCCTTTTTACTGTTGATAACAATGACCTTTTAACAGTCAATCAACAACAATAACTTGCATTTATATAGTACCCTCCATGTCGGACAGTGTTTCGAAGCGCTTAAAATCCACTTTGCAGTATATCCTTTCTAGGGGTAGTAATCCCTTCAATTTAAAAAAAAACATTTTTTTAAAAATTGGTCACTCAATCCACCACTGTTTGTGGAATGCTGCTGTGCGCAATTGGCTGCTGCGTTTCGTCCACAAAATATACAATCAATTCACTTTACAATATATTCTGTGAAGCACTTTGAGCCGTCTCAACAACGTGATAAGGTGCTATATCAAATACAACAATTATTATTATCCTGTGAAGTGCTTTGAGATGTCTTGATGACGTGATAACGTGCTATATCAAATGCAAGGATTATTGTTATCATTCTTATTAATGGGAAAGGGTTTTTGATGGAGACTGTTAGAAATGTGAAGGGCTGCCTTGTGTGTCTCACAGTACAATTTGGTTCTTTTTCTTTGACAATGATTTAGCTCTGTAAAATTAAGTCAGCCTCCGTGGCTTGCATTTTAAAAGAAAAAGTAGAGGTGAAGGCTGGTAAGGGTGAAGGAAAAGAAAAGTCCCATAAGCCATATCAGTTAATCACTGTACACTTTTCCCCCTTCTCCACTTTCCTCTCCTTCCACCCTGAAAGCACTGACACTTGCTGGGTAACATTCTATGGGTGCTTGTAAATCTTAATATACCTTTACTCATCACAAGCCTGGTTTTGCATTGTCTAACAGGGTCACTGGTCAAGAGCAGGCACTCTTGTCTGATGCTACAACAACAACTTGCATTTGTAAAGCGCCCCTCACGGAGGGTAGTGTTCAAAAGCTGCTTGTATATAAACCTTTGTGAGAAAAATAAATGTTTTGGTGGCATTCAATGCAGGCACTGTGTATTAGTTCACAACCTACTGCCACTTGCCTGTCAGGGTTCTGGGTGGAGGGTATGTGTTTCCGCATCGGGGAAAATGGAAGATGGTGCATCTGCCAGTGTCTGGCTCAGACCTAGGTGTTGGTCGGCAGCAGTCAAGAAAGACAAGGCATTTTAATATAAAAATCAGTTTGTAATATAAATCTGACTCTTGCAATACTATTGTAGCCCACATAAGAGATAGAGGGTAAAGATTCAGTGCTATTGATTAGTTCACTATTAGAAGAGCATAAAAGTGGGTTGTTTCAGTGAAAAGTAATAACTGGAATAATTAGAGTTTCTGTTTCTGTTTCAGTCCAGCAATGAATCGAGTGTATCCCACTAATCTCCCCAACAAGCAGTACCAACTGCTCTTTACTCAGGGAACCGGGGAAACGAAGGAGGGTATGTACTATGCAACTTTTTCCTTTTGAACTGCACTAAGTACGGTATTGGAACAAAGTGAAAATTGACCAGATTGTTTGCTCTGCCTATCATCTCTTACTGCTGGGTGAAGGTTTGAACCCTGTTGATTCAACCCCATTCCAGATCATGAGCTCTCAATCAAGGCTGACGCAAGCTGAGGTTCTGTCTGCCTGTAAAGGTCAATCTAAAAGATCGCTTGTCTGTATTTCAAAGAGCAAAGAGGCAGACAAGACCTCAGTTTTAACATTTCATCCAATTGGCAGCAATGAGTATTGCTAAACTGAATTTAGCAACTTATATATTTCCTTGATGGCTGTTTAAGAATAACATTGCTAGAGACTTGGAGTTTCTTGTCTAAAGCCCTCCTCACCAGTCTCCCATCCACTACCATCCATAAAATCCAAATCATTCAAAACTCTGCCACCTACATTCTCAGCCGCACAAAACTCTGCTCCCCGATTACCCCAGTCCTTGCCAGACTGCACTGGCTGCCTGTTCCAGAGAGGATCGATTTCAAGATCCTCACCCTCGTATTCAAGTCCCTGCACTCCCCGACCTCTCTGACCTCCACTCCTCAAAACAGTACCCGTTGCCTTTGTTCCTCTGGGTCTGGCCTCCTCCTCGTCCCCCGAGTCCTCCGCTCCACCCTCGGCGGCCATGCCTTCAGCCACTATGCCCCGAGGCTCTGGAACTGCCTTCCTCACTCCCTTCGCCTCGCTCCCTCCCTATTTTCAGGTCTCTGCTGAAGACCTTTCTTTTCAACCGCGCCTTTGGTCACCTTTCTCCCCCTCCACCTGGCTCCCCCTCCACCTGGCTGGGTCCTGGGATCCGTTACTGTGAAGCGCTCTTGAGACGCCGTCTGGCATGGAGGGCACTGTATAAATCCCAGTTGTTGTTGTTGTCCTCCAGCTGTCAATAGAGCAGACCTGGAGGGAAGCCACTTTATTGCTTGAAATTGTCCATTTAGTTGTAGGGCTTTCGTTAGATGGTTAAATTATTGAATGTTGAATGTGGGGAGTTGTTTAGAACTAAAATATTTAAGTATTAAACCACCCAGCAGTGATATAAGCAAACAAACGAAGTGCTGTGATCAGTCCTTGCTTATCATGCTTTTTAACGGGTGATTCTGATGTGACTAAGTTGATGCATACCAGTCGCCTGACTGCTGGTGCAAAGTTTAGATTCAATTTGAGGGATGTTTTTTGCTGAATTAATGTCCACATCTCCTGTAGAACAAGCTATTACTGTCCTTCCAATCAAATATGCTGGATGCCGAGATAATCATTTTATTTTGTCCACTTAGAGCAAGTTGCATTATCTGTTGGCAGTAACTAATGATAAGAATAGTATCTTCTTTCTCTCCTTCAATGCTGTCAAGGGTTGCTATGCAGCCTTAAACGTAATGCCCATTGGACAAAGCTACTGGGAGGGACCTTGAGCCTGTGGAGTTTCAAGAAACGGTGTAGAAGAAAATANTTTTTTAATATACTGTGTATGTATATATATAGCTATTATATTTTGTTTTCCTAGAAATCATCAATTATGAGTTTGACACAAAAGATCTGGTCTGCCTTGCGTTCAGCAGTGTAGTTGGAGTCTGGTATTTGCTGAAAAAGGTAAGAACAACTCATCGATCAAATGGGCTTCAATAATCAAATTTTGGTAAATTGGTGTTCTGGTTAACCCATTGCTGTCTGGGTCTCATCAAATGGCTCTGTATGTTCATGTACTCAACTATAAAGAGAGCCTCGGTATTGACTCCCAGTCTCTACTGAATAAACTCGGGGTGAGTGGGGGGTATGATTTTTGCTCCTGTTTGCTGTCCAGTCACTACTCCCTTCACTTGCTAGATCATATGCATAAATCCTTGTTAGTTCCAGACCTCATAATTAACAACAACAAAATACATTTGGGTAGTGCCTATCGGTCGGGAGTACATTCCAAGACGCTGGATAGTCATGGATTTGCACCCAAGCTGGGGGTAACCGAGGAAGATAATAATCATTGCATTTGATATAGCACCTTATCACATCTTTGAGACAACAACAACAAAGTGACATTTATAGAGCGCCTTTCACGTCGGGAGGACGTCCCAAAACGCTGAACAGTCATGTGTTGGGGCCTGAGCATGGAGGAGGGGTGGTGTAGAAGTGAGGGAAGGCAGAGGGGTGGGAGGGTGACCAAAGGCACGGTTGAGGGGAAGGGTCTTGAGACCGGCCTTGAAGGAGGCGAAGGAGGAAGCGAGGCGAAGGGACCGTGGGATGGAGTTCCAGAGTGTGGGGGCAGAGAGGCTGAAAGCCCGGCCATCGATGGTAGGACGGTCGGACGGGAGACATGGAGCAGGCCGGAGCCTGATAAACGGAGAGAGCGGGCAGGTTGGTAGGGAATCAGCAGGTCAGAGAGGTAGGAGGGGGTGATGCCATGGATGGCTTTAAAGCTGAGGATGAGGATCTTGCACTCGATCCTCTGAGGGATGGGAGCCAGTGGAGGCGGGTGAGGGTGGGAGTGATGGGTCGCGGAGCCTGGTGCGTGAGAGTACACGAGATGCAGAGTTTTGGATGATCTGCAGCTTGTGAAGGGAAGAGTTGGGAAGTCTGGTGAGGAGGGAGTTCTCGTAATCAAGCCTTGAGGTGTCCAGCAGCGACCACACCGACTGTCCCATTCCCACTTCCGCCGCAAGCCACCCCTGACCCTGGGGACTAACCTCTCCTCCCTCATCTGCATCCCCACCCACCCTCCCAACCATTCCACTACCCTCTCCCATCCCACGCAACTCTCTGCCAACTCCGCATTGGACTTCAAAATGTCTGCTCCATCTTCACAAGACCCTGGCCATCAATGAACTCATCCTCGATGAGAACATTGACATCATGGCACTAACAGAAACTGGATCACCCCAGGTGATACCTTCCCCCTCACTGAGGCCACATCACCCGGCTACATCTACCACCATACCCCACGTCCTAACCGTCGTGGCGGTGGTGTGGCCCTCATCTCCAGCGCGTCACTTGTCCTGTCCTCCTACTCCACCGGCTTTATCCCCTCCTTCGAACACCTTACCCTCTACCATCCCTCCCACCTCTCTATGAAAATTCTCTTACTCTACCGCCCCCTAAAATTCTCTCCCACCTTCATCTCTGACATCTCCATTCTCTTTGCTTCTCTCTGCCTCTGCTCCGACTGCCTCATCATCCCAGGCAACTTCAGTCTCCACTTCACCTCCTCCTGCTCCATCTCCTCAGACTTCTCCTCTGGGCAGCACGGAAACCCGATTGTAGGGATTCATGGAGGGAGTGAGAGGAGAGGAAAGAGCGAAGCTGGGAGGCAACGGCTCTCTCAAGGACCTTGTATAGGAAACGGAGATTTGAGATGGGCCGGTAGCTAGATAGCTGTGATGGGTCGAGGGAAGGTTTTTTCTAGGTTGGGGTGATAGTGGCTGTTTTGAGCGGGGAAGGAACAGTGCCAGATGACAGGGAGAGGTTAATGATGTCGGCGAGTAGTGGGGGAAGGAGGTGGAGCTGGGATTTAAGGAGAGGGGTAGGGATGGGGTCGAGGGAGCACGTGGTGGATTTCATGGACATCTAAAAATGCTTCACAGAATCTACTGTAAAATGAATTGACTATATTTTGTGGGAAAAACGTGATAGCCAATTGCACACAGCAGTGTCCCACTCATGGATTGAGTGACCAATTTTCTCTAAGGCATTATTACCCTTGAAAAGGATTCTGCCGATCGACTAACATCCAGGTTCCTACTTACTGCTAGATAAACTTGAGAGTCATGTGGCGTAAGGAAACTTACCCAACATTTCTCCCTGCCGGGAACCGAACCCAGGTCTCTCGCTTGCGAGGTGAGTACTCTATAACCACTGAGCTACAGGACTCCACAATGCTCAAAGAATGAAGAAAGATGACGTTCATTCATCTCCAGTGTTCAAAGCTGACCTGCCCTTGGACTGTTCACTCCAGTCCAGTACAGTAACTGTGTCCCGTGAAGTTCATTTCACTCTGTGCAGATCCTAAACAACATAAAGCCAATATAAAACTAGGCTTCTGATTTCACAGCTGGTTTTCAGCTGCTCCTTAATGGATATCTTGTGCTCAAAATAGGAACACAAAATACTCTATACAAAGAACTCGTAAATTTCCAATATGATTTCAACCAGTGTGATCATCTGGTGACATGATTATTTTCAATGTCTCCGGAGCTATTAATAGCTATTCTCAGTGAATGAAAAATGGTCCCTTGGAAACTTTGAGGTTTTGTGGAGATGAAGCGATTGTATTAAAAGAAAGGTTGAAAACTAGTTCTGTGAATGCTGTAGGTACGCAACATTGTTTTGTATCTTGGGTTGACTTCTATTGAACTCGCGTATCAAAATTGTGAATGGCAAAGAGAAGTACAGATCAACTGCAAATGTGCTGGATGAAGGTTTCAAAACCACTACAGTATTCTTCCCGCGTCCAGCAATAGTTTTTTTATTATTATATTTTAATAATTTAGATATTGTTCTGCTGGCAAGCCTAGAAATCTATATGTGATATGGTCTTCTAGAACTTTAAATCAATACTAATCTATTGATCATAGAATCGTAGAATTATGCAGCACAGAAGGAGGCCATTCGACCCATTATGTCTTTGAAAAGAGCTATCCAACTCAATCCCAGTCCCCAGCTCTCTCCCCATAGCCCTGCAAACTTGTCCTCCCCAAATAATTATTTAATTCTCTCTTAGAAGTTGTCATTGAATCGGCTTCCACCAGCCTTTCAGGCAATGCATTCCAGATTCCAACAACTCACTGTGTGAAAAAATGTCTCCTCACCTCCCCTTTATTTCTTTTAACAACTATTTTAAATTGGTGTCCTCGGGTTACCGACCCACCTGCCAGTGGAAATTTTCTCCTTGTTCACCCTATCGAATCCCCTCATCATTTTGAAAACTTCTACTGAGTCTCCTCTTAATAATATAATAATAATCCTTGCATTTGATATAGCGCTTTTCACGTCTTCTCGACGTCTCAAAGCGCTTCACAGAATATGCTGTAAAGTGAATTGACCATATATTTGTGGGCGAAACCTTCTCTGCTCTAAGGAGAATAATCCTTACTTCTCTAGAGGCTAGAGAAGCTAGGTTTATAACTGAAGTCCCTCATTCCTGGTACCATCCTGGTAAAAATGAAGGACTGAATATAAATGTATTGACCCTGACAAAATTTCAGTCAAAGTAGGTGGCATGTAGACACAGATTGTGGTATTGTTTAGCATTTCCCGTATAAGGGATGAACGATGGGACAGGGCAGGCTGGCAATAAAGACTTCTTGGGCTTTTGGGTCAACCACCATTTAATGCGTCTCCAAACTATTACTAATTGGTCTATTAGTGTAACATCCAGGGGGAATTGCATGCATGCAGAAATTGATGCTAAATCAAATAAAAAGATTGCATCTAGGATATGAACTTTTTTTTTCTTTGGTTTACTGCTTAACTGGGGATCCCTCCTGATGAGATCACGTGGACTGAAAAAGCCTTCTTCACCCAAACCTCCTTTGGTATTCCAGCCAAATTGTCTTCAAAACTTGCACAGTATTGTCCTATGGGTTCAGTGATTGAAACCATACTCCCAATAGAAGCAAAAAACTAAGTGCCTTCAGGAGAGAGAATTGGTAGAAGCGGAGGAAATTGGGGCGGAAGGAGAACGTGTTTCCTTTTTCCATAGAGAATGTCTCATCTCTCTAAAGGCCCATCTGCCATACAGTAACTTGGTAGCAAAGCAGCAATTACTGTTAATTAAAAAACATCACACCAGCTCCTGACTAAAGGCTCAAATATTACTGTCTTATTGTAGTTGTTAGGACTTCAAGTCCAATTTTAGGTTTGATATACAAATTGTTCTCCTCTCCGTGGTGGCAAACCAGAGCAAACCAGATCAAAACCCGAGTTTACACCATGCCTGCTATCACCATTATAGCAGACATCATGATGCTGTGATAGGACTGCTCTCTGCCACCGCTTTGGATAGTTAATTTGTGTAACATTGAGCATTTCAAATACTGTATAGTCAGCTGCCCGATTTCCTCTGTGGTTCGGTGCAGATTCTGTGAAAGTAATTCTGTGGTGGTCTGGGGTTAGAGGAAATCGGAACTTTTGAGAAACGAGCATAACCTGTACTAGTTAAGTCAAGCAGGTAAGACACTTAGTGTGTCTTTACTGATATTTTCCAGCTGCAAAAAACATCAATGCATCAGTTCATCAGCAAAACTGCTTTAGATAAATAATAATATAATAATAATCCTTACATTTGATATAGCGCTTTTCACGTCTTCAAAGCCCTTCACAAAATAAACTGTAAAGTGAATTGACTGTACATTTGTGGGTGAAATGTGGCAGACAATTGCGCACAGCAGTGTCCCACAAACGTTCGTGGATTGAAATGACTAATTTATTGTGTTTTTTTTTCTTGAGGGATTATTATCAGGTGTGTGGAGTAAGGAAACTTGTCCAAGGTTTCACCCTGCAGGGAATCAAACCTAGGTCTCTCGCTTGCAAAGCGAGTGCTCTAACCACTGAGCTACAGGACTCCAAATCTCAGGATAGAGTAACAAGATTTTATACATGTGCTAAACTTGACTATCTGTGTGTGTGTTTTAACTGTAATCCTTCTCTGTTGCAGCATTGGATTGCCAACAATCTGTTTGGATTAGCCTTTTCTCTCAACGGTGTTGAGCTACTGCATCTGAACAACGTCAGCACAGGCTGCATTCTCCTGGGTGGACTTTTTATCTACGATGTGTTCTGGGTAAGTGTTTCTTCCTTCAGTTATGCTTTTGGTCAACATTTTTTAAATGTCTCATTTCCCCACTCAATTGCTACCACTAAATTTGTCAAGTGCACTTTGAGAAGTGTTGTGGTTGACCTTAAAATATAATTTGCCTTTTTAAGTTTCCTTTATAACATTATGATGGGAATGGGGTGCGGTTTTTAAGCTTAAAGCACATCTGTCATTGAGTTTAGTCTCTTTTCCCTCTCCTTCCCCCAAAGGGGTGAATCTTGACCATGGTTGTCACTTGTGCTACCTATTGGATTGTAGGTGATGGCTCCCCATCACTGACGGATCAACTTCAAGATCCTCACGCTTGTATTCAAATCTCTTCACTCCCTGGCACCTCCCTACCTCTCCAACCTTCTCATTCAGAACACACCATCCCCAATCCACCACCCGATGCCTCCGCTCGATTGGCACCGGCCTCCTGCTCCTCCCTCGTACCCTCCGCTCTACCAGGGGAGGTCGCCTTTGCAGCCACTACGGCCCAAAACTCTAGAACACTCTCCCTCAATCCCTCCGCCTTGCCCCTCTCCCCTGTTTCAAGTCCTGCCTGAAAACCTACCTCTTTGACTGTGCTTACGGCCACCTTCTCTTCCCTCCCCCCACCCCGGCTCAGAGTCCGGTTTCACCACTGTTAAGCGCTGTGAGACACTATCCTGCATGGAGGGTGCTATATAAGTGCATGTTGTTGTTGTAGGGGACATTGCAACTGAGCACCTTTCCAGTAGGAGGTGATGGGTGATGGTTAGTAAAAGAGGTGGTTCTGAGACCAGTTGTCTTATCCATTCTCCCACTGCTGCCTCCAGGTGAGGTCAGTTAATTCAGCAAAGAGATTTGACCCAGCGACTGACTGTCTGTCTGTATGGCTCAGTACTGTACCGAGTGATATCTTTATTCACATAAGCTGTCAACAGGAGTCGGGAGTTTATGCAACACCAGTGCCAGTCATGCCATGTTGGATTTATACTGCAATGTATTTGCTTTATGCTCTGAATGTTGAGTTTAAGTGTTTTAACACACTGACTGTTCCAGCAAAAAAAAAGCACACAATGTTCAAGTGCTCAATTATATTTGCCTCCCTGCAGTGAGTTGGCAGATAAGGATTTAGCTACAAGTTATTGCCATCTACCCACTCAATTGTCGTGCTGATAAACAGCATTCACTTATTCTTCTTTTTCCAGGTGTTTGGCACAAATGTCATGGTGACTGTAGCCAGGTCATTTGAAGCGCCCATTAAACGTAAGTGTTTTCAGAAACCACGTTAATGTACAGAATGACCTGCAGTGAGTTTAATTGGTGCAATTATTTGGGATTTTGGTTAATTCTATGGTGATGGATTGGTGCGTTGTCAACACACACTCGCGCGCGCGCGCACACACAATACACAGCATGCTCACACACTCTCGTAGACGCTGATATATTGCACTGCAGATGTTGGGTGCCTTTACCTTGGTTCAAATCACCATTTTCATTCGAGCCCAGTGCGTTTTAGCAGGATATTCACCAAGTAGGCATTCCGATTGCGCTCCTCCTCTCCAACTCTTACTCTCACCACTCCCCACCCTCCTGTGGCCAGCATTGGGCTCATTTGTGATGCCTTTTTGCCCTTACTTAACTTGCACGAGCAGTGCTTGTGGGTGAAGCACACTGGGCCTGTAAAAGCGCACTCCACTGTGAGTCAACATCTCTCTTCAGGACTAGAGCAGATACTGTAAATTGATACTAACTGAAGCTAAGGTGGGAATCCAATTTTGACAGCCTTATTTCCCAGTCATCGTTGGCTGCTGTAGCTTAATGGTGAGTCTGTTAACCACTTCCTCACAAAGACTCAATGGGTCACCTGTGTGGGTGCTTGGTGGAATCCAGGTGCAGTAGCCTGAGGGCTTGGTAAAGGGCCCAAGCTATTGGGTTGGGGAAGGAACGTTGGTTATCAAGATGGTGAACTGATTAATGTTGATGGCTGGCGGGCGGTTTGGATTAGACACAGACTGTGTTACCACAGCCTAATAAAAACTGAACGCAGCTGAGCGATGGCTTGATCAGTTTCCAGCTTGTAAATCTAGGCTATTATACCACCTCTTCGACCTTGCCCTTGCATCCATTCCCAGGACAAGTCAGCACTGTCATTGAGTCAGAAGGCTTTATTGTTGCCATCTCAGCCACTTTTAAGGTTCCAGATTCTGCCTGTTCCAATTCTCGCAGCTCCTGAGTGCTCGTACTTGACAGTTGGTTCTACGTGAAGTTACCTTTGTAGTGGCTTATACAGTTAATTCATTCATCTAGTTTTACAAGAAAATAGATTACTTTAAAAAAAATAGGAATCGTTATCTTATTTGGGCTTATTTCAAAACTCAGCATATGTTAAATTGATGCGAAAGGGCTACTTTCTTTGTGCTGATGTGGTCAATAAAAGCACAATGTTCCAAGTTGTATTTTTGTCACGTGGCTTTGTGTAGGAACTCATCCAAATTTAAGAGAAAAATGAGTCCTGCTTTACCCCAAGTGTGCCCTAGAGGGCGCTGTATCATGTTCACATTTATTTAAAGGGCTATTCTTCCAGTTGTAATGGTCCATGATTCACATTTATTTGTCAGTGCTGAGTGTGATTTTTTTCAGTGTATTCAGACTTTAATGTGCCCCAACTTAACTTAAGATTCAGTGCAGTAAAAGCCCCGCATCTCCTATGAATAGCCACAAGAAGGAGCAATTCCTGATTATTTTAAAAAGAAATTGCTCACAGTTTCTCAGTGAGGATGAAAGTCCCAACTATTGCATGATCAGTATTCTCCCTGTACCTGGTTAAAATTTGCAAAACTGAGAAACTTAGGCTAAAACCCCATAATGACCTCTAGAAACTCCTGCCTTCGTTGGGGGTGGGGGTGGGGGGCAGAGAGAGAAAAAGGAGACATGTTTATTAAGCTTGTTTTTTGTTCGCCTGCTGATTATCCCTGCAGCTGCATTGGAATGGAATTGGAAATTGTCAGCAAAATACATGTTGTTCTGCTGGCGGGTGGATACCAGATGGCTGCTGGTTGGCCAGTCTCGCTGTGCGCTATCCAGCTTGGAATGAGATGCTACACAACCAGACATTCCTGATTGTGGGCTGTAGGATGGTTGCCCCAGCTGCTGTATGTTTATCCAATATGCCATTGGAATGTACAGCGCAAATTGTTGTTTTTCAACAGACCCCCGTTTGAGTCCAAATCCCTGACTGTCCAGCGACTTGGGGCGTCTTCCCAACGTGAAAGGCACTATACAAATGTAATTTGTATTGTATCATGCCATGAAGTGCCCCCTCTTCCCAAACACCAGCCTCCTATGGAACACAAGGCTTTAAACCATAATCCGGGTTCTTTAATTCACCCACTTTGGGAAGGGGGCACTCAACAGCAACTTGCGGGAGGGATAGTCATTCTGCTAAGGGGAAGGGAGGTTGCATTCGACGGAGAAGTGGGATATCACCTCAGCTAAACAAAACTCGAGGAAAGTTGGTATCTGCTAGCCAGACCTTCAACGATGCATTAACTAACACTGTCGATGGGAATAAACCATCAGATTGTGGAGAAAAGGATTATAGAAATAATACAGCACAGACGGAGGCCATTTGGCCCATGTGCCTGTGCTGTCTCTTTGGGAGAGCTACCCAATCAATCCCACTCCCCAGTTCTATTCCCCACACTCCTGCAAATTTTTCCTTTTCAAGTGCCTATCCAATTCATTATTTTTCACTATCTTATTGTTTTCCATCTTTCTCCACAAACATCTACTGGTGTAACTAAAGTACGTTTATGGAGCGTGAGCACAACTGACAGGTAATTAAAAACAGTAATATGTACTGTATCATGCCGTTTTTAATTCTCTTGTCAGTAAAATGATTTTAATTGTTTTTTTCTTAGTGGTTTTCCCTCAAGATTTTCTGGAGAAAGGACTTGCCGCCAGTAACTTTGCGATGCTTGGTCTGGGCGATATTGTTATTCCAGGTACTGATATCTTAACATGGGCTCTCCAAGCTTGTAGCATTTCATAACACAATATGTTTTATATTATCAAAACCACAAGGAGGTTCCAAGAACATCCACTTGGGTAGCGCTGGTTTGGCTTGGGGGCTGACACTGGGAGATTTGAGTGGCAGTGGTAGGACAAAGGGTCATGGGTTGACAAGTCACATTACCCCCCCTCCGTTGTGTTATGCATGGATTTTCCAATGGGCTTGCTTCCTCACCTCACCCACTACCACCAACCCTCCATGAAGCCAAACCTCAAACTTATTACAAAATGCTCACTGGCCAAAAATAGTTTGATTTGTACGGTTGAGAAACATTCTGTGACTTGTGTAGAATTCCAGTTTTTCAGCCCATTGTGCCTGTCCAGTTTGTTCTTGGAGTGTGAATGAATCAAATGAAGTTCACAAATTAAAGGTGTATGGCGCTAACACTTGCTTTAAATGCTCGTCATTCAAGTTCAATGGGGTCTCATTAAGTAAAAAATGTTGTAATCTTAGCCTTGGGGGATCTCCAGGATTGGCCTAGGGAAGAGGAATTTCATGGGAGGTGTTCATGTGTGGGCACCAGGTGGGGACAGCATCTGTCTCAGCTGTGCCAGCCTGATGACGTTTGCTGTTGAGGCTCAATCACTTTGAATTATCGACTCACACGTGAATCATGGGCATGTGGTGTGGTGCCAGAGAGTGACTGGGAATTGTGTAGTCATACGTCAAATTGCAGAAGCAGTGAGAAATCTGTGTGTGGGGGTGGGGTAATATACGTTAGAGAATGTTTCCCATTTGCATCTAGTACCAACTTAGAGTGCAACTAAGTGAGCTAAACTGTGGAGTTAGCTGCAAAGTACACGCTTCTACACTTTCATATCTTTGGAGTACAATGCACCCCTAACACTGCATTATATACCATCATAGTTTCACAAGAATTGTAATCAACTAAAAGCCAAATGTTACAGGATAGTCTGAATGCCATGTTGTCTATTAATGACCAATATAAATATGGTCAAGGCTGGATATTAGCTTCCAACAAGGCACAAAGGCTGTGGATGCAGGATCAATTCAAATTTTCAAGACTGGGGTCGATAGATTTTGTTAGGTAAGGGTATCCAGGGATGTGGAGCAAAGGCGGTTAAATGGAGTTGAGGTACAGATCAACCATGAGGGGCTGAATGGCCTACTCCTGTTCCTATGTTTCATTGTGATGCAAGGGAGGAATATTAATCTTTTTTTTTACACTTTAGGTATCTTCATTGCTCTTCTGCTGCGCTTCGATGTCAGGTAAGCGGCTCGAATGCATGACCTGAAACTCTCTGTGTGGAGCAGAAATCTTCCACTTGTACAGGACAAACAGAGTTTTGGTGGGAAATAGACCTGGGCGATGACTGTCGGCAAACCATAACAAGACAATCAGATACTGCAGACTGATAAGGCAGTGAGGCTGGAGTGTCAGTTTGGGTTTAAGAATGTTATTGTATCTTGAGGAGATTGCTATTGATTCTTAACATAGTAAATACGCTTCACAGCTTGAGAAGTCTGTGTGCACAAAAATAACAAGTACAACAACTTGCATTTAAACACCCATCACGGTAACGTCTTTACAAGGACAGGGTCTTGCGCAGAGAAAGAGGAGGTCGTTACAGGTGTGTTTCAAGGAGTAGTTTTTAAAGCTGTACTTAAAGACAGATGAGTGGGTGGGGGCGCGGGGGGCTCTGATGGTTGAGACAGTGTTTATTACACAAATTTTTGTTTTCACAATCAATGCTCGTCTTTACTCAGTGTTTGTGAGTTCGGTGCTGGAATTGGGTGTGTATTTACAGTAAATTTCACTAATCTTCATTCCTGGTGTTGAAAACTGATCTACCACAGAGTGAGCAGTGATTGCCAACCAGCTTTGTTTCATTTCTCTCTTTTCTCCCCCTAGTTTGAAGAAGAATAGCCGGACGTATTTCTACACCAGCTTCTTGGCTTACATCTTTGGCCTTGGGCTGACTATTTTTGTAATGCACACGTTCAAACATGCTCAGGTGCGTCACACTTTATGGTCAAGCTTTGAAATGAAACCTGGAAAGATGATCAATGCTTGTTCCTACTCTTCTGCTGTCTGCACACACTGACCAGAATTATATTTTTAAAAAATATTTCCTCCTCTACAAACACAGTATTGTTCTTTTTTTTAAAAAAAGTCAATTGCAGCGGTGTGGGGAAAGGGGCATTATATGCAAGGACTGCGTAAGCCAACACGGACAACGGGATGGGCCGAATGGTCATTTTCTGAGCTGTAAATTTCTGTGTTTCTGGTATCCATGAATGGCAGCGCTGATTTCCTGCCTCTCCCCAACTCATGTTTATCTTATGTTTTGTTTTTTAACGACTTAACTTGATCTAGGTGCCTCTAGTTATTTTTCTGTTTTTCTAATCCGCGCCGAGGTATTTATTTGATCAATTCTGCTTCGGTTGTGTGATTGGAAAGTTTTTAATCCACTAGGGGGTGCTGCAACCATGTCTAATGCATTTAAATCTCGACTGACATTGTTGCACGCGTTACCCTGAGTTTAATGTGTGTCGGCTGTCGCTGCTTGTTAAAAACCTCTATTAGTGTTGATTGTGAGTTCGCCAATAAACTTGAATCTGACTGGTTTAATATCTTTTGTTTATAACTCTCCAGTGAATGGGTTGCTCTCAGGAGGTAGTTTGTGTGTGTGCGCAAGGATTGCTCTTCAAAGAACCAGCACAGACCCACAATAGACCCAATGGCCACCTTCTGTGTCGTGAATTTCTGTGGCTCTTTCAAGAGCAATTTTTATATATATATATCGTTATATTATTAAAGAAAGCTACTTTTGTCTTGGTTCCATGGTTGAAGTTGTGTCAAGTTGATGGTTTTTGTTTAATCAAGATATTCTTTGTCCAATTCGCAGCCTGCTCTCCTGTACCTGGTACCTGCCTGCATTGGCTTCCCAGTACTCGTGGCCGTGATCAAAGGGGAACTCACTGAGCTGTTCAGGTAAGAATGCAAATGGCATCTTCGTAACCGCTCATCAAATTCAAGATTCCCATCCTCACCTACAAGGCCATTCACGGCCTTTCTCCCTCCTACCTCTCCGACCTACTATCCCCCTACTTACCTGGCCGTACCTTCCGTTCCTCTGGCTCCTGTCTGCTCCACATCCCCCCCCAACCGCCCTACCATCGGTGGCCGGGCCTTCAGCCCCTAGGCTCTGGAACTCCATCCCCCAGTGCCTTCGCCTTGCTTCCTCCCTTTCCTCCTTCAAGGCCGGTCTCAGGACCTTTCTCTTCGACCGTGCCTTCAGCTCCCCTCTCGACTCTCTACTCCCTCCCCTCACCCTGACCATTTCCCCCCTGCTCGGGTCCCGACTCAACTGTCCTGCGCCTTGGGACATCCTCCTGACATGAAAGGTGCTCTATAAATGAAATCTTGTTGTTGTTGTTGACATGACGCTCAGTCAGATTTTCACCCAAGTTTGCCATGTTAGTTCAACTCGGAGAGCTTCCAGTTTTAATTCCTTTTTGCCTTTATTAAACATCATACAAAGTGCCCAGTACACGTTGGCACGGACTTACCTTGCATATATTCACACCGACTCAGTTTGTCAGTGACCTACCTGAAAACATGCGTCATCACATCTAAGATGCAATCAGGCCTGTTGTCGGTTTCCTTCTGGCAAGTGTGTGTGTTTTGCATCCAGTAGTGTTTCTAAACAATAACTCCTTTCAGGGATCATCTGATGTGTATGTAAACTTAGTGCTCAATTTGCTCTGAATATCCTTGTTTACTGGCTTCTGAACCACTCTGAGCAATACTCATTGTCTTGTGTGCAAATTTGACTCCACTTATTGGTGGCAGGAGTGGAGTGTTTTACTTAAATAACCCAACAATTTAGGTGCTAAACTGCTCACTGACCTCAAATTCCACTTCAGGGCGAAGGTTCTAAGGTTTGCCTTAATTGCTGATCAATCACCCCTTGTGTACAGATAAAGAACATCAGGACAGAGAGTCAGCTTGTTTTCTTTCCCTGTCAATGACTGGTACTTGGTGCAGTTCCCTAGTTGCTGATAACTGTGGGCTGTGGCACTCTTGGAAACTTGTCCAGAATGTGAGTCTGGACATTGTCACTGGTGGGTTCATGAATGGAGGCTGATTTGTGATCCATCACCCCTTTTGTTATCGTAGCTGCGATGGGCTTTAGAGCAGCAGTTGAACCCGGGATGTTCCTTCTCTGTGTGTCTTAGTGGGTAAGTGTCCTACTAGGCAGCTCTGCCCTCTTGAGAACGAGAACAACAACATTTGCACGACGCCCCTCACACAGGGTAGTGTTCCAGAGCGCTCGACAATGGCAGAGCACGACGCTGAGCCAGAGGAAGCGTGGAGGTGACTGTAGGCGTGGTTGAAGACGAAGGTCTATGGGCGCAATCTGAAAATAGTGAAGGAAAGAACAAGTCGGGGGATAGAGAAAGTGTTCCAGAGTTTTGGAGCATAATTATTTTTGGGGGGAAGGGATTGAGAAATACTGTAAATCTAGGATCTATGAGTTTCCACTATAATAGCAGATTTAAACTTTTTTTAAAAAAAAACAGGCACAAGGCTGGAGGCTTCAAATAACCGGTCATAATCTGCTCCACCACAGGGATAGAAGGGAGTTTTCATTCAGCTTTTTCCAGCACTTTGTGAGGGAGGTGATTAGCTGAGGAATCTATGGTCTCTCTTGCTTGTTTAACTAGAGGCATTTTGTAGAGCAGTTGACAACGAGTGCTTTCGTTAATAAAATACTTGGGATTTTGTGGTGGGAAAGAATTCTGCTAAACATTAAACGCCGTGATAATCACCCTGGGGGAAATGCGGTCGCTTGTTTGGTAAAATCTCTGTCCGTCAACGTTTCTCAAACCTCCGCTTTGATTATATGGCTTTGCTATGAACAGGTGGCACCTCGTCACCCTATTAATGTACCGAATGCCACCCAGTTGGCACCTATACACTCTGGGCTTCCTTCACAGCTGAGAGTGACTTGTTAAAAGAAACGGAATTAAACTGACAGGAGCGAGTGTTCTGACTGAACCTTTGCCCATTTCCCCTGGAATTATTTTTGAACAGCTGCCACTTGAAAAAAATAATAATAATTTGATCACTCAATCCATGACTGTTTGTGGGACACTGCTGTGAGCAATGGCTACTGCATTTCGCCCATAAGATATACAGTCAATACACTTTACAGGATATTCTGTGAAGTGCTTTGGGGCGTCTCAACAGCGTGATAATTATTATTATTGAAACTCAGGGCTCGGCTATTTGTAAAAAGTGTTACAAGGCTCCTCGACACCACGGTCAAAGCAACCATCAATAGAATGCAGCTGCCGTTCAGTGCTGGGAACCCCAGCTATCAATCCTGATCTGTGTAGAATTCGCTGATTCACGGGGACACCAGGGATGGGGATAGGCGGAAGGGAAAAGGAGACTGCAATTTGGCCTGTTTCTTGGGGGGGGAATAATAATAATCCTTGAATTTGATCACGTCACATTGTCTCAAAACGCTTGGCAGCATGTACCGTAAAATGAATTGACCTGTGTATTTTGTATCAAAAATCAATCAGAATTCTCTGTTACCACAAACTATTGACCCCGGCTCAAAAGTTGCGAGCAGGATTGATCTTGGAGATAGTTTTGCCCCCACTTCCCCATTGAGTGTCCTGACAACAAGCACTGTTCATCCAGGCTCTCGCACGCAGAATGAGAAGAACGATCACTGGGGTGAGGTCCTCGTAGAAGTCGGCTGGGGGAGAGGAGGAAACCAATTGGACAACTTGGATGAGTTTATATGAGCAATATGACAATTTTTCTTTTGCTTGTTTTACAATTTATTTATGACAAATCAGCAATGTTCCTGGCAGTTGGAAGAAGTGATGGGTGGGGGTTTACTCCGTACAGACTGTATCTCACGAGCATGTCGTAGGTGACCTGCAGTTAACATTGAATACAGCTGGTCTGACTTCATAGCACTGGGCACTCTCTACCCAAGCACAACGACAAAACAAACTGAATCCCCCGCACGGTGATCATTAGCACTCGCCCGGGCCAGCTGCAGGGAGAGACTTGTACTGCGGAGAATTCTCAGGAAACGAGGCAAGTCGTTAGACCAAGCAAGCACCTGCTCTCAGCCTTTGATGTTTAATTAATCCAGAGACTCAGGCGCGGGCTGATGGTGACCTTGTCCTGGTCCCGAGCGCAAACACCTGAAATTCAAAATACAGCTGCTGTGCGGAGGAAAAACACGAGGGGGTGGGTGTCGAATCGTCTTGTTTTGATTCCTCAAACTAGAACTCGGGAGCTGACCACCAAAGAAGGGGGTTGGGCGGGTTATCTTTGGAGCCGAGTTGCAGGAACCTCAATTAAAAACAAGCTTGCAAAGGCACATAAGAGTTCTACAGAGGAGAGACTCCTCATTAAAATGGAAACCAAGGACTGCAAATTTGGGTAATGTTGATTCATGGCTAAAAGGAGCTTGGATTGACTGCTTTGTGAAACCGTGTTTTGTTCATTGTTTGGACGTCTCTCCTGCTACCCTAGATTAATTTTTTTGCAGTTGAAATAAGTTCACTTGCATTCATTGAAATATATTGCCAATCCGGTGAGCTCCAATAATCTGCATAGATCGGAATATCAGACCTAGAATACCTACTTCTTTCCAAAAGTGACCTCTTTAGTTTCAGGGAAACCCTTGTCCATTGGGCCAATTGAATTGGAACTACTGAGTTTGATATTAATTGTCTATTATAGCTGCACTTGCCATTCCTACTTTGAGGTTTGGAAGAAGTGAACGGTAGAACAACTTGCATTTACCTGTATACACTATTCTGGAATGCACTACCTGAAAGGGTGGTGGAAGAGGATTCAAAAATAACTTTCAAAAGTGGATTGGGTATTCACTTAGTCTGTGGGAAAGTGTGGGGAGTGGGACTAATTGAATACCTCTTTCAAAGAGCCGGAATAGGTACAATGGGCCGAATGGCCTCCTTCTGTGCTGTAGGATTCTAATTCTATGATGTAGCGCCTTTCACGCGGGGTAGCGTCTTGGAGTACACATTGATGGGCTCGCATCTTAAACATGGCTTTCTCTCGATCTCCTCCCAAGTGCTAAGTACTGATTCTGCGGAGGAGCCTTGACTTACAACAACAATAAAGTTGACAGTGCAGATGGTTCAAGATTAAGTTTCAATTTGGATTTTGGGATACCAAACGTCTGTTAATGGAGTTTCTGAGATTGTTCTGTATTTTACGGTTGCCGTTCTTTTAAAGCTGTCTACACTGAACTTTTCCTTTTGTTCTTCTCCTCTTACCCCTCACCCTTCCTCTTCATGTTGCCTCACTCAAATCAGCTACGAGTCTTCAGCTGAGGTCTTGCCACACACTCCAAGACTTACTCATTTCCCCACTGTCTCAGGCTCCCCAGCTAGCCTGGCCAACTCTATGCAGCAAAAGCCTAACTCCCCCCGCCGCAGGCGGACCAACCCTAGCCCCATGTAGTCCTGTCACGAGAGGCTTGTGGAACCGCAAACTGGCCAGGTATACACCAGACTTCTTGCTGTGCTTTTGCTTCTGTATTGCTCAGCATGCTGCTGCTCCCAGCGTAAGCTTCCTTTTGACTGTCACTCTTGCGTCCTGTGCTTTTTAAGTGTAGCTCTCCTCACTAAGTCACTCATCATCTCGTAGTACTTCATTTCCTCATTTAGAAGCCTCACCAATATTATAACCAGCTTCCAGCTTCTGCGGATGCTTCAGTGTGAATATTCTGGTTGCACCTTGGTTTCCGTTATGAGCAATCATAAAGTTACTGTTTCTCATGCTGAATCATTGATTAACATGACAATAGACTCTGCGTGTGAAGGGCTGTGGTGAGTAATTGACCGATGGTAACACTGGGAAGCCAACCTCATAGCTGTGAGAGGGAGAAAAATGTTGTAACTTGATAGTTTGGGTTCATTGGCCAACTAAATACCATTTGATGTCATTTTCAGCTGCCACACTAGTCATTGTAAATTGCACAAGTTTTTGTTTCGATTGCATATAGTCAGATTGTTGAGTTGCCCAGCTCTCAGCTTAACAACTCAGTGAATTACGCATAGTAGTAGGCGGGGGTAGGGGTGGGATAGAGAACTGAATGCAAAGATGTTTCTTCCAACTAAACTGAAGTAGAATTCCACCAGTAACTACAAAGTCTATAGCTGACAGACAGCCAGCACTCAGGTGTGGGGGAAATGAGTGTGAGGGAAGCGAGGGCGGTAGAGAACTCTATGGATAGTGTCAGTGAAGCCATACACGTTGCATCAGTATTGGCTTGTAATGCATGCGTTGAGCTGCTCTGCATGCCTCTCGACAATTGGGCTTCTCCAGCAGGCTTGGGAATGAGCAGACTGAGTCTTATCGTCTGTGTGATGTGTTTATTTCACCTTTCTATCAGGGAGGTTTGAATATGTCTTCTTTATTTACAACTTTGTATGTTGGATTGTTTTTGTTCATTGGAACAAAAATGCAGTCCTTATTTGCATTGCAAACTTGTGAAGCATTGGCAGGCCAGTAGTGAGACTACTCCTCTCCAGCTCATTTGAGAACGCTGAAATATTACAGGTTGAAGCGCATATTTCTAATTTTAAAGCTGTTTTAGCTCCTCACACAATTTGATTCAGGCGCTCTTGAGACACTATCCTGTGTGAGAGGTGCTATATAAATGCGAGTTGTTGCTGTCGATTCACTCCCAACTCTGATGAGAGATATCAAAAGCTAAGGCCTTGATAACGACATGCATTTACATAACGCCTTTGTGCAGGTAGCGTCTCTGAGTGCTTCTCTTGTTGGAAAGAGAGAAGTTATGTCCTTAGTCATCACAATGTAACGTTCAAATTAGATGGACAAGGCCTTGCATGTTTTTTGCATGCTTGATGGACTGTCAGCCTAAACTTGGATGGCTCAACGTTGTGGGGAAGTAACTCCTGTAGGAAAGAGTATTTATGGGAGATGACATTCCTGTAACTCAGTGGTTAGAGCACTCGCTTTGCAAGCGAGATCTGAATTTGATTCCTGGCAGGGCGAAACCTTGGGCAAGAGCTTAATAATAATCCCTCCAAAAAAAAAACAATAATAAAAATTGGTCATTTTCAATCTACGACTGTTTGTGGGACATTGCTGTGCGCAATTGGCTGCCGCGTTCGCCTACAAGTACACAGTCAATTCACTTTACAATATATTCTGTGAAGCGCTTTGGGACGTCTAGAAGACGTGAAAAGCGCTATATCAAAATGCAAGGATTATTATTATTATACCTAATAATAATCCATCAAGAAAAAATTAGTTTCTTCAATCCACAACTGTTTGTGGGACGCTACTGTGCGCAATTGGCTGCTGCATTTCGCCCATAAAATATTCAGTCAATTCACTTTACAGTGTATTCTGTGAAGCGCTTTGAGACGTCTAGAAGACGTGATAAAGCACTAAATGCAAGGATTATTATTATTCCTTTGAAGCACAGCAACCAACATTAATGCCAGCAACGCAGCTTAATTTAACAAGCTTGATTTAATAAATTGCTACATCTTAACATTTTCTAAACATTTAACCTTTGAAATTGTTAAATAAAGAAGCTGGGTTGGGTTGGTTAATGCTTCATGTGATGTCTGACCAGAAGTTTGGTCTGTGGGTGTTTTTTGCTGATCTTGGTGGAGTGTACAATTTTATATCAGAGCTAGGAGGTGGGCAAAAGGAGATAGGAATCCTTCTCTTAATTGCTATCCAGTTGTACTCCTTTCTTTCTCTTCTCCCACCATCGCCACCCCATTCCCCCAAAACATTGCAGAGATTGAACGCTGGACAAGGACAGGAGATGGGGCGGGGGGTGGATGGTTTACTCATCGAAGGTGACAGCCCACCAGAGCGTATAACTTGTATATTCTCGCTTGAAATGCAGATATGAAGAGAAAACTGGCCTTGACAAGGATGCTTCGGAAGAAGCCACAGAGGATTTGACAGAAAACAAGAAAGAGAAGTAGTAAAATGCCAGCGAGCAGTCTATTGAGAAGCAAGTCCTCGGTCCTATTCTGCCTGTTGTATTCATTTCACGCAAAGACCCTAACAAGCCAAGTGCGTCCTGTGTGTGGGTTATTTTGTGGCAATTTTAAGGGGAAAGACAAAAGTATTTCATTTTCACATCATGCTACAATGCTAGTTATCCAATTCCATTCAAATGTTTTCTATGTATGTGCTACTCTTTATCTGTGTTTTATATACAGTATATATAAAAAAAACTGCGAGGTTATACCAGTGCCTACCTGTAAAGTTTTAATTTATTACCAAGTCATTCATAAATTTCAATGACCCTTTTTAATTCAAAGGCCAGTATTTTTTAAGTTTTGCTTTACAAACAAATGCAGAGAGAAAAAAAATTCTTCTCCCCTGGAACAGTCATTCACACTTTTACCAAAAACAAAATTGTTTTTAAAAATATATATATAATCTCACCTGTCACTATTTTTTTACATGTTGGTTGGAGCCCATGGATGCATTTTTAAAAGGGAAATTCTAGAGTTTAAATCAGCAGTGTTTTTATTGGAAAATGACTCAATCAGCTGCTAATACTTACTGTAGATTTATAAGTATTGAATTTAATGCTGGGACTATTTTTTTGTCTAACGGGCCATTTGTGTCTCTCCCCCTGCCCTCCTGCTGCATTTGTTTGGAAATCAAGGATTGACTGATCGATTATATTTTGGTGTTAGGTTGGGGAGGGGGTGGTGAAGGTTTACCCTAAACTGTACCTTGTATTTATGTCCACCTGTGGAAAGTCCTGAACAGAACGTAAGTGCACCAGCCAGTAAACCTGAAACTGCCCGAGTGAATTCAGTCGACATCATTGTTCAGGTGGAAGTTTTCGTTTCAGCTGGTTGGAATGTGGGACTTGTCATGATTGCAGTTGTTTCTATTAGTGAGGTGTTCCTCTGTCTGCAGTGCATGTGGCAGTTTATGTGTCAGTCCCCACTTCCCTCTTTTCTCCCCTCTTTCTTTCTCTTCCCCACCCCCCATCCGGGGCAAAATTTACACCAACCAGCACCCCAGCCGCCTCCCTTCCTCCCTCCCCCGGTCACACTGAAATCATTGTTGAATATGCTGAATTCACTAATGGAAGCAAGCGCAGGGGGGGGTGGGGGGGCAGAGGGAGAGGGGGCAAATTATAAATGACCCCGCTTTGTACCCACCCGCACACAGCACCAACGAGGATCTATCTCCCAGAGGCCAAGCCAAATTGTAGTGTCCTCCAAACTGTCAAGTTGCTTAGCTTGAGACCAAGGCTTTGAACCTGGGACCTCCTGGATTGGTGTAGGTTGATCATTACCTCACCATGGTAGTGCATTTAACCAGTGGGACGCCAGGAAAAGCTGTGTTTTTGTTTGTCCGATTATTTTCTTTTGAGGTTGGGGAAGTTTTGGGAAGCTCGCTCGAATACCAGTGATTTACGCGGTTTCTCCCCCACACTTATACCACTGTTGAGGACAGGATCATGCTCATTGAACTGAATGAATTCTACAGGATCTTACTCTTAACAGAAGCTTTGCCACCTTTTCACTTTTCCATTTCAGATGAATTGGAGGCTCCCTCCAAAAGGTCTCTCCTCTTTTCCCAGCACAGGTAGCAACACAAGTTTATCGTTGTACTTGACACTTAACAATGATTGCACCAGCCAGGACACTTGAGCTGTAGGTTTATTTTTAACAATGGCCTGCAGTCATGAGCCAATCTCTTTGCTGTATAACGAAGAAGGTGGATGGATGGACGGACGGACGGGTGGGTGGGTGGATGAAGTAGCCTGAGTTTAGTGTTGAGCCGCGATGCGCTCTCTTGGGCTTCATTCTCCACTCGTGAATTTTTAAAACTTTCTTAAGCTTTTTGTTTCTTCTAAACTGCCTGCAAACCCGGACATCCATCTCTTTATGGCCTTTGTTTCCCCCATTCAGTCACTTTTACGTGCAACGATTAATTATCGCTCTTCATTCTGTGGTTTGCGATTGTTCGAGATCTTGAGGAGTATTTCTGTGTCAAAAGCACAATGTTCAAGCTTCCCGTAACCATAGAGTCTAAATTCCCACGACCCATTTGACTTCACTTTGTACTGAACCTTTAATGATGGCAGTGGAGCATGGGTTCAGGATCTATGCTCTGATGTGATTCTGATTCCGTAGGACGCTATTTTCAGTCAATTTTTTTCCCCCAATTTTTTTTGGCATCTTTTTCCTTTTGTATCTTAACTTTCCCCTCTTCAGGGAAACGTCGGCCTCCAATGCCCGTTGCCAAATGATGAAAGGAAATATTCCAGAATGGTACCTCATTTCTAACCCTAACAAGATTCTTTCCCTTTACACGTGGCCTCTGTGACTGGTTTATTTTATAATGGTGTTATCCCGCGACGACTGATTTTTTTTGACTGTTCAGTAGCCAGCGCGAGCCTCCAGCAAGGCGGTGTCTTTGCTGTACATCATGTCCTCGATGCCAGAGAAGTGCATTCACTTCTTCTTACACTTGTACCCGCTAACCAAAAAGTTGAGCCATTTCCAATAGCTTTCTTTCGTTGACCCAGGCGACAAGACGATTAAAAGCTAAAACTTTTGTCAGTCCAAAATATTCCAGAAATCTATAGCGAGTGTCCGAATAACGTTTTCAGTGGGTGGGGTAAGTGCATGTGGGGTGGGGGGGGGGCGGGGGCAGAGAGAGGGAGGAGCAGTCTTGGAGATTTTATAGCCCAGTGTACACAAGTCTGCCAGTCCATATTGTACATGTTCAGTGTGCTCGGCTTTTTATGTATCATGGATATGTGCGTATATGTTAAAATGGTACACGTGACTTGAGTGTTCACACGTTCCTGAAGTTCCATATCCTTCAGACTTGTATCTCTATCCGGTTTTCATGGGACGAGTGAAGGAGGAAGAAAGTTATTTAATTGTGTGATCATGGATTGGAACGCAACGCGGGGTTAAATTAAACACTGGGTCATTGTAATTGGGTGGATTTTTTTTAAAAAAGAGTTCTTTGTGATTATTGAGAATCTTGCTTTTTCTGCTTTTCCATTACTGTAGCAAAGCTGCTCAACCTGGTTCCCGTGAGGGGCTGTGATCATTTTGCAATAAACTTGTGGTGTGCACCACTATCTATATGCATCAGCACTGCTGCCGTCTCTGATTATTCCAGCTGGACATCATATCCTGTGATCGCGGTGACAAGAACACATTATGTCTGGTGGCAAATTGGATATTCCCAGCTCAGTGGTCAACAGCACCTCGCTCGCGCATGTACAGTGCCTTCCAGGTAGGACGTATTGTGGGCAGCACCAACCAGAAAGGGATAGAGAGGGATCAGATTGAGTGTTGTCCACAATCACACATATGTTTTTTTTCCAAAAGGGATTTTTTTCTCTAGATATCAAGGGTGTAAGCAGCACCTCAATATTGTAGCACCCCAATGATTTCTCTCAGGTGCAAGTTCCGATTGGATGTGAATCCTGTGCTATATTATTGATAATAAGAATAATTATCCTTGCATTTGATATCATGCATCAACATGTTGTTGAGGTTTCTCAAAGTGCTTCACAGCATCCAACTTCTGGACCTCCCTGTCTCAATCACTCTGCCTTGCCTCCCCCACCCCCATGCTTTAAACCTTAAATCCTACTCTTTAACCGCAACATATAATCACCTCCCCTTTCTCTAGTGCCCCACCCTACCCACCTATACATACAGAGCTCACACACTAGCCAGCGTGAAGGGTGCTAGGTGAATGCAAGTTGTGTATGCAGAAAACATGTAGCAAATTAATTTTTTCCCCTTATTTACTTGTCCACGTAGACCCTGTGACATTTCTCATTCAAGAGATCAGTAAGACAAGCTCTCCTGATGGTTGTCTGGTGAGAAAAGGTGTTTAAAAGTCCTGTAGCTCAGTGGTTAGAGCACTCGCTTTGCAATTGAGAGACCTGAGTTCAATTCCAGACAGAGGGTGAAACCTTGGGCAAGTTTCCTTACTCCACACAGAGCCTAATAATAAACCTCCAAAACCAAAAACAATAATAAATTGGTCATTTTCAATCTACGACTGTTTGTGGGACATTACTGTGCGCAATTGACTGCCGCGTTCGCCCACAAATATACAGTCAATTCACTTTACAGTGTGTTCTGTGAAGCGCTTTGGGATGTCCTCCCGACGTGAAAAGCGCTATATCAAATGCAAGGATTATTATTATTAAAACCCTGTCCTGTTTGTGGTGGTGTTTATCCACTAGAGGGACCCGTTGAGCTACAAAAGTCAGTGAGTGGTACCTCAAGCATTTGCCTGCGATTCTCACTCCACCCCACTTTGCTGAACTCCCAGCTTGAGACCGAAACTAAAATGAAATGTCAGTTATGGTCTAAACTATATTTTAAAAAGGGAAAACCTTAGAATTGTTCCCTAAGAATTTTACGGAAATGAAAGTTTGATTCCAGACATCCTCGGAGCCAATGTACGAGAGATGTCATGTTCCGTGTCCGCCCTAACTGACTCAGTCGCTCCCATGCTCTCCTCTGGGCCAGAAGGTTTTATGTGTTTGAGACCCACATCAGAACTTGAGCTCACAGCCCAGGCTGACACTCAGTTTTTGTTTGGAGTGGGGTGGGGGGCATAGAGAAGGCAACGCTGTGTTTACAAGAGGTCATCCTTCGCATGAGACACTTAACACTGGTCAGTTACGTGTTTATGGGATGTTAAGAGTGACACTATTCAATAAGGGAAGGCAACAATCCTCCAAATAAGTTGTACATTCACTTTTAATGGATATTTCTGGGATCTAACTGTGCGAACCTCTGCCTTTTGGCTAAGGTCAAGTGTAGTGATCTTACGTTTGATCTCTCCCCTTCTCCCCCCTCTTCTCCCCACCCCCCCTTTATGGGGGAGGGAGGGGGGGTCACAGACAGGCTTACCACAGCACTTGGTCACCCAGCTCGGGTTGGACTGCGGGAATCTAGTCCCCTGATTTGCTCAGGTGGTCATGAAAAGGAGACAGGTCTGTGTCGTTCTTTGACAATTTGGGGCCGAGATTGTATGCGTGTGAGAGAATGTGGGGGGGGGAATGTCTGGGTGTTAACTCTTGTCCCTATTTGAGGAGCACGATTGGGTTTAGTGGAAGGGAGTGGGGTCTAACCTCACTCACCAAACAAAAAAAACCTGTTCAAATTTGCTGCTGTGTTCACTAGTCACTTAAGAGCAATTCCTTGCGACACTTAACATCAAACAAGGATTATTATAATTGTTGCTTGTACTTTATGGTTTTCATGGGAAGGCCCCAGGTCAACCTGCTCTGAATCATTGACTGGGGGGGTGCACTTGTCCTGTGCTAGATCCAATATGTGCTGTGGTGTAAGACTGTTCTCCTTGTGCGTAGTTTCATGTTAGTGTGATTAATGGCACTACCAGTGATGTGGGTTGGTGCCAATCCCTCTGTTTACTGGAAGACAATAGCCAGTTAAGCAAGGTACATTGTGGACTGACTGGCGGTCTGTTAGCATATTCACCTTTCATCACTGGGTTTGAGTCCAATGCCGTCTCTTCCTTCAAAGGCCCCCACAACCTTGCTTCTCCCTACCTGTGACCTGCTAGCTCCATAAAGACCTGTCCGCTCCCTCAACTCAATGGGCTCCAGTCATGTCCCCAGCCTCCTTCAAAGCCCGTGTTAAGACCCTCCTCTTCAACCGCACCTTTGGTCACCCCTGCCCTCCGGCTCTCCCAATCCCATTCCCCAGCTCGGGTCCAAATCCCTGACTGTCTAGCACCTTAGGACATCCTCCTGACGTGAAACACGTTGTGTAAATGTCGTTTGATACTGTTGTTCCTTGTGTACTCTGGCCCACAGTGTAAAATAAAAGTTCACAAGGTAGTCGACAGTGATTTGGGGATGAAATCAATTTGAAGGATTGGGAAGAGGGTCGTGAGTGATTGTTCCTTTGTGACAGAACACATGGACTTAAGTTCCTCTTTGGCTCAGTACATTCGGTGCCGGAAACGGGCCAGAAGCACAAGGCCCTGCTAGGTCACTGCGTCCTCTCTCTGACATTGGGTTTAAAGGTCGAGTTTGACCCTAGTATCAAATTTATAAAACTCTTGTCCACCCCTGACCTGGGAGTGATTTAATTTGAACAGTTTTGCCCTCCGATCCCAGCAACATCCAAGCCCAGACAGGAGAACGAGAGACGTGCTGAGTGGTTCGTCAGCCAGTTCTGGAATCCAGCCCAGGAGCCTTTGGTGAAACCGTGCTCACCGACCAGCTGGGGAAAAGGGATTACGTTTACCGGGAACTGCCCACTTCACAAACCTGTGCTTTTCTGCAGTGTGCAAAAAAAAAGTCGCTTTGGCCCTGGGAGATATTGTGCTATTGTTCTGTCCACTTTCTTTTCCCTTCAAGCTAATAAAGTGCTGAATGACATCCTCTGCATCTGAATAATAATGGGTTTGAAGACAGAGCCCCGCTGAGATCCAGCTGTTAATCCATTGTGCTGTGGAGACGCCAATTTCAGCTGGACAAGCAGTTGCTAAGGTTCAGCCTGGCTGTCCGGCCAGTGTACTCGTTAAACATAACAGGTACATCAAACATTCAGCCGCTAGGTGTTAAGGATTGAGTGGGGTATAGTGCCAGGGAGTCAAAGAAACCATAAATCTCAGCTTTGTAAACACTGCAGTTATTTTACTGAGCTAAGCTTTTTATTTTTATGTGTGTGTGTGTATATATATATATGTGTGTGTTGCAGTTGCAGGGAAACTTGTATTACTCTGAACTATGAATGTATTGAAATACCCGGCATATAATCCTTGCATTTGATACAGCACCACAGGATCTTTTAACGTCCACTTTCAGCAGGTAGATGGGAACTCTGTATAAAGTGTCTCAATCTAATGCAATGCTAAATGACTATTCTTCAAACGGGAGCCTTGACTATTGATATCAGCCACGTATCCAAAAGCTCACTGCTGGGTCCAGTCCTCGCCGTCAAAGTTGACAATTGTGCAGCATCCGGAAAACCGGTCGCCAAATTCATTCTGAATTCGGGAAAACTCAAAGAGAAGATTAAGACTTCCAGATCAAGACTTCTTTCCAAAATTCCGTGCAGTTATTTCAACGACATGGGTGTGAGGCTGGTTATTAGCTCAGTCTGTTGGGCTCAGCCTCACACCAGCCTTTGGCTATAGTTTATCAATCCAATATTTCGAGAGCCCACGCAGTTTAGGGTTTTATTAATCATATGTGTGCTCGTGTACGTGTTGATGGACATGTGTGGTGTGTGTGCGTACATTCAATTTCTAGGCCAAACTAACTTCATTTCCTATTTGCTGGGAATGTTGGAGAATAAGTCCTGATTTTGTGCACTCGTGTGACAGGATCATAATAATAATAATAATCCTTGCATTTGATATAGCGCTTTTCACGTCGGGAGGACGTCTCAAAGCTCTTCACAGAATATACTGTAAAGTGAATTGACTGTATATTTGTGGGCGAACGCGACAGCCAATTGCGCACAGCAATGTCCCACAAACAGTTGTAGATTGAAAATGACCAATTTATTATTGTTTTGAGTTTTGGAGGGATTATTATGAGGCATTTGGAGTAAGGAAACTTGCCCAAGGTTTCGCCCTCTGCCTGGAATTGAACTCGGGTCTCTCGCTTGCAAAGCGAGTGCTCTAACCACTGAGCTACAGGACTCATCAGACGTGAAGCTCACTTTTTCAACAACAGAGCAGTGATCACTTCAAACTACAACAACTTGCTTTTATATAACATCTCACAACGCTTTCACATCAGTCCCAACAGATTATCTGTTCCCTTTTTTTACCTACTGTTATCCCCTCCTCCTCTCTTCCCTTCCCCCCCCCACTTCCTAATAATAATCCTTATATTTGCTATCGCGCCTTATCACGGCGGAAGGATGTCTCAAAGCGCTTCACAGGAATTATTGTGAAATGGGAGTGACTGTGTATTTGTTACCAATACAGTTGTGCATAGTAATGTCCCACGAATGACAATCAGACAAAATGACAGTGATTGATGCTGAGATACAATTGTGCAAACCAGGTGCCTCCAGCAGCACCTCCCTCAATAATCATTCTTCATCCCTGAGTCTGCAGATCAAGTGTCAGCAGCTCC